TTTTAGTTTAAAATGTTGTATGTAAAAACATTTCTTGGAATATGGTGTCTTTAATTGTGTCATGCTGGAATTGCCTCTGCTGATCATGAAGAATTGAATAATAATCATTTGTTATGTAGGGTGCTGACTCAAACAGAGATGAGTTCAATTCAGATGACAGAGGTTGGTACAAAAGCCAGCTGTTGACTCTGCTCCTCTTTCCACAAGTTGCGTTCTCTGTGACTGGGATGGCTGACTCATGAAACAATTCTTTAACAGCTGCAGTTTATAGCCTCATTTATCCAAGTAAACCAATGCTGCCTTTAAGTTGTTTTAATGCACAGGGTTGGCAGCTCTAACAGCTTAGGAGCTGCTTCCTGTATAGATCATGAGTCCTAGTATGGTTGTGGCAGTCTTTGGAGAAGAGTGAATGCATGGTAGAATGTTTAAGCTGCCTGTATTGGTGGATAAATATTCTCTGCTTCTGGTTTACAGCAAACCTTAAAATCTTTGTAGCAGTTTGCCAGCAGTTGCAGAGTAGTTGCAGACAACAGCTGGCAAGATACCTTTGCTATGGCTCCAAAAGATTCATCTCAAACTAAGGCAATTTTCTCCAAGAGTTTTGGTAATTACATCTGGAGAAAAGAAGAACATTAAACCAGATATTATTCTCTGGGTTTTCAATTTCACTGAGATTGGAAGAAAACCAATTCTAAATCATTTACCATTTTTGAAAAGATACCTGGTGAACATGGGAATAGGAGCCAAGAAATCACTGGCCAGGGCTGGTTCTGTTGAACAACTCTGGTGTTAAATAGGTAGCTATTCTAACAAGGCTACCAGGTAGGCTGCTTGAGAGGGAAGAAAGAGACAGGGCTTTGATTTGGGCAGTGGCATTATTGGGAAGGCTGCCAATTTTCCTTGGTTTCCCTTCTTTCCCTTTTAGGATAACACCTTGCTGAACTCACAAGATAACACTAAGGCTTATGGGCTTGGTTTAATTCTCACTGCAGTCAGAAAGCTAACACTGATAGCAGTAGGTGAAAGAGCCTCATTTTAATAGGTTAGTGTCTAGAGCAATCTCAAATTGAGGCTTTTTGTTTATTTGTATTTAGATAACTACCACGTAAACTTGAGCTTTCTGGGTTTGAAACAGGATAGTTTTCCCAAAAAGTGGTCCAGATAGCTGAATTTAATTCTATTTTTGTTTTTGATTATGCTTTTGTAGCCTTTCTTTGGAGTTATTTTATAAAGAGCTAAAAGTAGAATACAGATATCTTCTGTCTAATGAGCTCATGGACCAGATGCTTCTCTTGCCTTTTCTTTTGTCCTATAGCAGGATTGAATTCCTTGCTCTACAGCAACTGTAAAGTCATTACACTGCATTTAAAACAAAATGAAGAAAGGGTGATCTTTTGCTAGGACTCTATTACTAAGCCTTTTCACCATCTTTCAGCAAAAAACAGTTTAATCCTTTAACATTTGTAATATAGTATCTGCTCAGAATTGTCTATTGTGAGCTATGTGTATTTGCACTGATTACAGTGCCCTACATCTCCACAACGCCGGTTCTTTGCCCTTTGGATCATCTTTGTACAGCCTAGCTGTTATCTTCCTTGCTGATAGCATATCACCAGTGGTACCAGTTAAGAGCTGAAAACGCTTCCAGCATAATGGAAAGTTCTGCTTTCACCAGAATGACTCACTAATGAATTAACCTCTGCAGTATTCTGCCTGGGACAGAGGCTTCCTGTGCCAACTTAAGAAAAGCTTACGGGAAGATGCTATTATATAGCAAAAGAGAAATGGATTTGAAGTGTTTTATCTCAGCTTGGATGGAGCCTTAGGTGGCATGGTTTAGTGTGTGGTGTCCCTGCTCATGGCAGGGGGGGTGGAACTAGACGATCTTAAGGTCCTTTCCAACCCTAACTATTCTATGATTCTATTTGCCTTGTGAGAATTATGTTTTCTAATACTAACAATCTGCCTGAAAGAAGCTTGGAAGCTAACAGGGAAATAGGTATTTTGGGAAGGGTTACTTTTCGTGACTGAACGTCCTTTGCTATGGAAGCAAAAAGACACCACCACAAGAAGAATGGATTTTTAACAAAAGTATGTGATGGCAAGCAGCGCAGGAGGCAGGAAGCATCTTTTCCTCTCAGCAGACCACAAGCTTTCGGCTTTAAGTCGGTCACTGTTCGAATGTAGCTACCAACTGGCCACTTGAGGGGCAAGAAAGAAAATGGATTTAGTTTTGGGCGGCGGTTTTGAGGGCTTTTTGGGACCATGAAGAGCCAAGGGGAGACTGCACTGCAGAGTGTTCTCCATGTGTCTGTCACACATTGCTGAAAGTGAGTGGCTGGAGTATGGTTTCACTGTGGCAGCCTGGTCTGGATGGAGAGTCTGTAACTCATGACTTCGGCTGATTTGTCCCGTGGGCTTCAAGAACTCTTGTGATCTCTTTATAGCTCTGGGAGTGTGATTTACTTGTTGTCAAGGAATCTGCCAAATCTGTAAGATTAAATTTGGTGTGTCTGTAGCAGACTTGAACCAAGCAGAGTGAATCTCTACGTGAAGTTAAATGTGATTGATGTAAATTTCTCCAATGAAGAGCTGTAACAAGGCCTGGGAGCTAGAAAGAAGCTCCAGAATGAGATTTAGTTCCCAGTAATTTTTGAGATAGAGCTTTTGCTGCAGAAATTGTTCACCTTTCAGGATAGGGAAGAAATAAAAGATTTGGGGAAAATCTTCATACCTAAAAGAGATGCTTAAATAGCTAGAACTGTTGTTTGGACTTCTAGCTATTGATCTGTTAACATTTGGGCACTTCAGGTTTGACAACTGTTTACTGAAATAGCAAAATGCAGATATTTGTAATCTCCAGTGGTGCCACTTCATTGATTTTCCCTCAAATGTGCAGGGGTGACTTCTGCTTTTTGTTCCAATGCATTCATGCAAAATGCAGAAAGTTAAGTTTGTTACCCAATTCTCCCTTTTTGGCTGCTTAGCTCAGCCTGCCATCTGTATCTGAGAAAAAAACAGGTGCTGAGCTATGAGAGACGTTGTAACCATGCAGAGTAAGGTGGGGGGTTACAGTGCAGAAAGGAATATTGCTTTGTGTGAAAGATGATCTTTGACAACAGTCTGTGATTGTTTCAATGTTTCTTATGAGGGGAGAAGTGCCACTGAAAGGGTACTGTGGCACCATTAAGGACAAAATTAAGACAAACTCTTAAGAGTTCCTGACTCTGAGTGGGAGGTGGGATGACACTGACCTAGTAGTGCTTCTCCATATTTCCACTCATTATCTGTTAACCTTGATTGACTATAGTGTATGTGTTTATCGACTGATGTGTGAACTCTTCTCATTCACCATCACATTTTGCTTGGCTACGTTTATTATTTTTCTTTTATATTTTCCCTTTCCTCCCCTACTATTTTTTTAATAGAAGCTATAAAAGCACAGTAGCATAGGGACAATGCAGGCAACTTGGTGCTAGAGACTGCAAGCAAAAAGAAAGGGATGGGGAAGACTAATTTCATTATGAAAACAAGTGTGCTAAGTAAAACACAGATTCAAACCATGTGTTTGCTTGGGAAAATTTATGATCCAAATTTGACATAGACTATAGCAAGCAACCAAGGAGCTGCCATATGGAGGAATCGCAGCTTTGCATTATTAAGGTCATACAGTTAAAACTTAATTTATGAATTTCTACTGAGCAGTGTCTGCAATTCAGTAGCAGAAAAAATATGCTTCTGGGGAGACATGAGGGAGAAAAAGGTAGTGAGATTTTTTTGAGTAGGTATTGTGTGTGTGGAAGGGATAGGTTTGGAAAAGCTCTCTGTAGCAGGGAGAGGAGTAAATCCAGGTGTAAACAAAAATAGTTTGTTATTTGAAGATAAAGTGACTGGCATTGACTAAATCAGATACTTTCAACATCTAACAAAACAGATGAGGGGTCTAAGGAAGGTCAAAATATAGCTAACCTTCCGTTGTTTAAAAACGTGAAAAATAAACCCTAGAAATGAATGTAATTGTCATCTGCAGTTCTTTTCACAGCATAGAGTAGATGCCAGCAACACTTTGGCATTTTGCATTACGCTCTGTTTTTCTGCCCCAAATTAAAATCTAAGTGTGAAAACAGAAATCACACAGAATCCAAGCTCTGTTGTTTCTCAAAGAAGCAAGATGCTATCATGCTACTCATGGCATGTTTCCTCTATATCAGTAGCTAGAAGTGTCTCCCGACAGGCTGATTGCTAGCAGGGAGCTGTTCCCTCTCAGGAGACTGTAGCTGCCAGATCTCAGCCCTATTATGCACTCCTCAAAATCACTCCACTTACCACCTTCGCCCTATAGCTGTAAGTGGGTGAAACCCATCTGAGGGTGACCTGAAAAGCTTTAGCTATCCATACAGGAGAAGCTAATAAATAATTTATTAGCTTTCCATACAGGACAAGCTAATAAAAAGTATATTCAGCTTCCAGATCTCTACAAGGATCTTTCCTGAATTGATTGCTGTGTTTTTCTTCTGACATCAACTCTGTGATAAGCAGAGCACTGGCTCTGGTAATGGCAGAAGATGGCAGGTATTAAACAGGGAAATCTGAAGAGGGAAAAGGGGAAAGTAACAATTACAAAGTTAATTGATACTGTATGTCCAAAATAAAGAAGGGCCAGCTGCTTTTGTTTAATTGAAAATAAACCTCCCCCACACTGCAGTAAAGCACAGGGTGAGGAGAATATCTTATGGAAGGGAAAAAGAATGATAGCGAGAAAAAATAAACCAGGGTGTAGGAAGTAGCCAATTGGTATCTCACAGTCCTGCTCAGTATTGACACTTTGAATGTTTCATGTTGGAACACAGAGATAACATTGTATTAAGCTCCTGTGTCTCTTATCAGCTCTGCTGTGTTATTGTGTGTAAAATCCCAGGCTATTTTTCATACAGGTGGAGCATATGTGAACAGCTCTTTACCTGTGCAGAAAATAGTCACAAGTTGTTCTGTGTTCACAGGTTTTGAATGCAGTCAGAGTCTAGGAAGTATGAAGAAGAAGAGACACCTTCTCTGCACTGGGGGTTGGATCCTGTGTTTTTTGCATTTGCAAGACTGTATATTAAAGATATAAAAGAAATGAGAGAATCTAAACAAGTGCCAGGTACGTACTTATATGTGCTGATTATGATGCACACAGAATTCTAATTGATTTATGTTGTGCTCTTTATTGAGGGATTGCAGAATGCTTCATGAACACCACTAATGTTCCGTGCCCCAAGGCTAAGTGACATTAAGAACTTTAACAGTTCTGGGAACAACAGGTTGCATGTGAAATATATGTGAAAATAAAATGTTCATTCTAATGGCTTTTCTTCCTCTCGTATATATATATATAGATCGATAGGTAGATACAGAACATCTCTTACATTAAGGTAATGTTGTATTTCATCTGTGTGGTAGCGCTTGTTATTTTCTGATAACATTAATTCTAAAAATGCTGGTCCTTTCTGGTCATCTGTGTTTTTATCTTTCCACTGTCTGTACAACATTAGAGAAGAATTTTATGCATCTTCTCATTGTTGCAAAATCTTGAGTTGATGGCTGAGTGTATGTGGTTTTGCTTTTTCCTCTGAATATTAAGGTATTATAAAACAGGTACAGGTTTTGAGGTTTTGTCTACTTAATTTCCAGATATGATAGACACTTGACATCTTCATGTATTTGAACAACCTTTTTGTAAATTCTGGCATCTGTGCTGAATCTTACACCACACCTTTCATTTCCTAACCATTGCTGGAAATCGCATGCTTTGCTGTCTGTTTCCTGCTGGTCTTCAGCTGATATCACCCATGTGTACGGTGTCTAAAGCAACAGGGGTCTGACCTTGAATTTCTGTTTTCTCTACGAAGACTTTAAATAGACTTCAGAAAGTTTTGTGCTATAGAAGGGTTCATTACTCCAAATTAAAGCTTGACAAGGTGCAAGATAATCAGGGTGGAACCCAAGTTACTTTGAATAAATGAGAAAAAGTAGTAAACTCTAAGCAGAGTTTGTGGGGGTTTTTTGTTTGTTTTTTTTTTCCTCCACAGAGACAAGGTATACCTATTTGGTTCTTTGAATGTGCTCTGCCTTGTAGGTTTTGCTGCTCTTAATTACTTTTCTTTAATAGCAAGGATAACAGCAGTGTATTGTTGAAGAAATGAAGGAGTGGTGGGGTTTTTTTGCTCTTGCAACCATTTTTATATACATATGGGCATCACAAACTGCAAAGCCCAGTACATATATATACCTCTGTTATTTAATATGATAGGATACTTTTGTCTTAAATCCACTGAAAGAATGAGGCTATAGTCAGTTGTTGATGTTTATACTAGAGTGAGTAGTACTTAGAGGCCTTTTTAAAGGGTGCAGTCATATAGTAGTACTGGTATAGCAAATGCTTCTGGTAAAAACCTGTTCCTGCTTCAAATAGAGCCATTTTAATTGTTTTCAAACAAATACAAACCAATTCAATGTTAGCAGAACAGGATTGTAGTTTCGTCTTGGACATTAGTTAAATGCAAACATGCATGGAAAAATATATTCAGAGGAATTGAACTTGAGCATCAACAAACATTTCACAAAAGCTGGAACAGTCCTAGAACACACAATCCTGCTCTTTCTTACCTTTAATTTCCCTTCTCACTTCTCTTCCTATTCTTTTACTTAGGTGAGTTGTCTTCTGCTTCAGGAGCTTTCAGTTTTGTTATTACTTTTCTTTCCTAAGATGATCCTAAGGAAGTGGTATTTCTCATGTCATGATATCAGCCTTTAAAATCAGTGTATGCAAGCTTTCTCTGCTTCCTGTGCATCTGATATTTTGAACAACTAAGGTTGCTTGCAATCCTGTATCATTTTCTAAACCAGATTTTAAAGAATAAAATATTTCATAGAACAAACACCCCGAGCTTTTTTCATTCTCCTAGTGCTGTGTATATACCACATCAGACATTTATTCAGCATATCTTATTTATTGGCAACAAATGTTTGCACAACAGAAACACTAAAGAAAAAAGTCTGTTGGGGAAGGAAGCAGGTAGGTGTTTGCTGTTGATGTTTCCTGCCTTTAATGGGATTGTTAAAGACCAGCTGAAGCTAAATATATGATTGGTTGTAAATCAGTCAGTAAGTAATGGTAATTAAGAATGAATGATTGCAAACCAAAGAGCTGTAACTAGGAAGAATGGAAAGACACAGACTGAATGTCAGGAAAAACATCCTTAGAATGACATCTGCCAAACCATGGAGCAGGCTTCCCAGGAAAAAGGTGGGATGCCCTTCGCTGGGATTGTTTATATCCTGACTGTACAGATTGCCAGGAATTTACTGTACGGAATGGTCTTACATTGACCCTGAGGAAATGGACTGAATGACCTAATAGGTTTTTTCTTTCCATTTTTAAGCATTGGGATTTGATGCCATAATGACTAATCCCTTTACAGAGAGGAAAGCAGTAAACCTGGCCAATTATTCTCCTGCTATAAATGGTGACAAGAAGGCTGGAAAACCTCCCAGATAAAAACAGCAATTGTGTTGTCTTAGAGGCCATGAAATGCGAGTGGGTGTCAAACTCTTGTTACAACACATAATGGAAATGAGCTTTTCTCAGACTTATCATGCAGCACTGCATTGTGACAGCTTATCAACAAGTGAGGGAAGCTACAAATAGCATAAAAGGGGATAATAATAATTAAAGCAATGGCAAACAGCTCAGTACTTAGTAATGCTGGTAAAGACATGACCAGAACTTGCCCTAGAGAGCTCTGCATTTAAAGCCCCCTGTACCACTGCTGTGATTTCCTGTTGTGGTAACAGCACGTTAATGAACATGTGATTTACTGGGTTACTATGAGCCTGTCTGGGGGCGCTTGCAAGTAGCTTCACATGTGTTTTACTGCTGCCAGTACGAATAAGTAAGCTGACAGGAGAAACAATTTACATCTTGAAGTCAAGTTCAACAACTTTTAGAAGTGTAAATATAATTTCATGTTCCAAATTTGGGTAGTTTCTCGAAGAGTAAGGGTGGAGTTCAATGTGAATTTATGGGGATGGAGAGAACCAGTTTTATCTGTTTCTGTCATTTGTCAAAACTCAGCTTACAGATGGAAATGAGCATAATAATATGTTGCTTATTTGCACAGTCAAGAGCTTGGTGTCCTCACTCCACAGAATTACCCAGAAACTGGCTCAGCCTTTTTTTTTTTAATAGAGATTTTGTAAGTTTTAGTGAACAATTATATACACTGGGAGCATCTCCATTGAGGGTTTCTATAGCAATTTTTATTGTTGTCCTAGTAAATGGAATGAGAGGAAGTGGGCAGACATGCTAAACGTTCACTACACCAGACCTGACCAGTGACTGCACGATTACTACAGCCAGCTCTAAGATGACAGTGATAGACACATCCTCAAAACATTGCACTGGATTTTTATGAGCAGGCCTTCTGTTTATGAGCTGCCTGGCTGATCACCTGTGATTTCTTTTGAAACTTTGGGTGTTTTGTCTTTATGTGAAACAAGTTAATTCCAGGCTCATTTAAGGCTGCCAGCTATGTAGGCCAAGTTATTTTTGGAGTTTGGTTTTGATTTTTCTCTCACTCCCTTGCTGCAGTGTTTCTCTTTGTAAGAATAAACCTTGCCGCAGTGTATGGAGCCAAATGTTCCCTTCTTAGTCCCTTGAGTTGCCTAGTTTTTAAAGGTAGTTATTGAACATCCCAGCCTATTTCAGTGAAGCAGCAATATTCAAAAACTGAACAAGACACATTGACTGAAAATTAGCCAGCCCAGGATCTGGGCTTATTGCCCTATTCTTCTGCTAGTGGACTGTGGAGCTTCAGTGTATGTTTGCATTGATGTTTCTTAACAACGTTTGTCACTCTCTTCAAAGGGCATGTAGCAACTTGAGTGCTGTCAAAGTCCACTGAGCACTGATTCCTCACTGTTTCTGGACACGTTTTCACATGTTAATCTAATTTAAGTCATCTTTATATATGCACAAAAATAGCTTTGAAGGGCTGTTTTTAGAAGCTGTTATTTCAGAAGCTGAAGTTCAGGGTGCTGTCCATCATGGCTGCATAGTGTATGCCAGCATCTAAGAGGCTTGTTTCTCTTCCCCTGCCCCCCCATGGCTCTTGTTCTTTGAGAAATGAAAGACAGAATTATGCTAGTTTTCCTTTTGGAAGCTCTGCCTTAATCAGGAACAGCTGCACTGTGAGAAGCTCAAACTGCTTCCATTGTGTTCTATTATTTATTCCGAAGCCTGATGAAGATGTTAAACCCCAAAACAAACAAACAAAACCCCAAACTGAAATGAAACCACAAAACAACTAAACCACCTCTAGTAACTGCAGCAGATGAACTGTTTTTCAGGTCCAAATGTGCAAGAAAAGAAGAGGTTAATAGAGTTCTGACACTCTACAAAAACAAGCTTTTGGTATCCTAAGTAGAGCTAATATTTCTTCATTCAAGCGTTCCCAGTCCTTACTGATCCAGGAGATTTTTCACATGAATAGGCATTGTATAATTCAAGATACATTAAATATGTAAGAAAGTATGGGCCTTTTTACTGACAAATGTGACTTTGTATAGGGTAGGATGTTGAAAGTAAGTTGTACTTACCAAGTATGTTTTGTGTCTAGGTATATTCTTTTATAATAGACATCCAATAAGACAGGTGGATGTTGTTGGGCTAGTGGTTCAAAGGAAAGAGCGAGATGCCTTCTATAGTTACGGAGGTAAGAAAAGTTTCTTTCTTCTTGCACTTATCAGCCTTCTAATCTTAATTACTGTTAGAACTTAAAAGTTACCTTATTTGATCATTGTTCTTGAAACAATTGTGCTCTTATCCGAATATAATGCATATTTGCAGCTCAGAATATTTAGCAAACATAGGGAAGCTACTATTTATCTCTACTTCAAAAGTAGAGAAACAGTTAAAACACAGTAACTGATTTGTCCAGGGTCATCTAGTACATCTTAATTTTAGTTATTGCTTTGCCACTGGACTTACAATTTTTTCTCTCACGCACACATGTATATTATATACACCTACATGCACACATATATATGCAGTTTCTTTGGTAAGATATAAATGGGTTTAACAGTGCCTGCAAATGAGAAGTCACTTCTTCCGTTTCTGAACCTTTCTTTTTGTATGTTTTGTTGTATCTTAGAGCCAGCTTTTAATAGCAGTTAAAAGTTTGTTTATATTTAGATGTGTGAAGAGTCTTAATAAATCTAACTTGAGCATCATAGTACCAGTGCTTATTAACAGCAGCTAGAAGTTGTCTCCTCCCTATTGCTTTTCCTAATAGTCAGGCTGTTCTTTTAACATGGAAACATCTGATTGTCATTTTGTTCAGCTGCCTTTTTCATCTGGAGAAAAAGCAGAGTGATGTGGCAAGTTTCAAAAGCAGGGAAGGGGGAGGTCATCTCACAGTAGGAAGGGGGAGCCAAATGTATAGATCCTGTTGAAGCACTTGAAGGACTCATGTCATAGAATCAAAGAATCATAGAATCATGGAATCGTTAGGGTTGGAAAGGACCTTAAGATCATCTAGTTCCAACCCACCTGCCATGGGCAGGGACACCTTACGCTAAATCATATCACCCAAGGCCTCATCCAACCTGGTCTTGAACACTGCCAGGGATGGAGCATTCACAACCTCCCTGGGCAACCTATTCCAGTGCCTCACCACCCTAACAGGAAAGAATTTCCTTCTTACATCCAACCTAAAGTTCCCCTGTTTGAGTTTTAACCCGTTACCCCTTGTCCTGTCACTACAGTCTCTAATGAAGAGTTCCTCTCCAGCATCCCTATAGGCCCCCTTCAGGTACTGGAAGGCTGCTATGAGGTCTCCATGCAGCCTTCTCTTCTCCAGGCTGAACAGCCCCAACTTCCAATGTCTTCTGCCATGGGTTTCCACCTGATGGAGGCCATCTTCTTATCCAGTTGCCTTATTTACAGAATTGAGTCAGCAGCAATTCCCTGAATCAGGAGTACTGTGGAGATACAGTTGACAATCGGGTCCCTGCTCCCACAACACCTGCAGTTGCATCATACTGCTGCAGAGTAACATTATCTGCTAACGCGTTAGTGTACACCGCACTGGGTGCAGCTGCTTAGTGTTGGGTCTGTGCTCTATAGAAATGTCCCTGCAAGTTTCTTAGAGTGGATATTTGCTAGTTTATTTTTAAGTCTAATTTCTGGATGTTTGTTATTACCCTGCCATTATGCTAAATGTGTTGACAGTAAATATTTTGAAGCACAAGTTTCTCGGGCACTTAAGTAGCAGAGGCTAAACAAGCTCCTAAGTTAAGAGGTGGGGATATAATGAAGTGTTGAAATATTAATTGAACGTCAGCTATTATTCTTTCATTGCACTAGTATGCAAATGCAGTTATTGCTTCATGAGAACAGAGGAAGGCTGAATCAAAATGACCAAGGTAAAAACAATTCTATGGGCCAGGGTTTCACCACGCTGCTCTCGGCATTAGCTCAGATGTAAACCTGTTGGAAGTATTCGATTGTGGCAGAAAATGGAGGAATAGAAATAAAAAGAACCTGCAGAGTCATGGAATTAAGGCCTTAGCGTTAGATCAGCCAACCTCTAAGTACAGCTCTCAGAGAGCTTGGCTTCCTGCTGTCCTTCCACGTCCAACTCCACTCTTTGTTCCAACAGTTTCTGGTTTGAGCTTTCAGGCTGCCGTCCCCAGCCTGCCCTCCCTCACAGGTGGGCTGACTCCCCACCCATAAAATTGTACTTCTTAGAGAGTTTCCTGCTTGTAACTTCTTGCTTCTCTGGGTACAACAGCCCCTGGCTGGTGAGTCACGGAGCTGGTGTTTCGTCTGTTGAATGGCTGCACACTGCTCAGTACTTGCTCCCTTCCCATCTGCTTAAAAGTGACTGACAAAGCAATTCCCCCTTTGTAATTTTTCTCTGATGGAGAACTGAAACGACTTTGTGTCACTCCCACTATCTCCCCCCCTCATTTCCTATCTGTCTACTTCAGAATATACACCACTTATTTTAAGAGAATCTTACATATTTCATCAATTGAAAGATCTTAATCCCAGAGAATCTTTCTGTGTGCTGAAAACTGTACAGCCTGAACTGGTGACAAAATAACAGCAGTGTAAGAGAGTAAATTGGCTCTTTCTAGGCTTAAAGAAGCAAACAAACAAATAAACCCAACCATGTGTAAAACCTGATTTTGACATGTTGATGTGATTGATTGTTGCCATTGTCATGATCAATTAGGAGAGAGATACCCAGTTAAAGTGTGACTTTGCACAAGCTCATATTTTATCTAATGCACCTTTCTGACCTTTGACTTGTTTTTTTTCCCTTTCCTTTTTACCAAAACAAAACGTCCCATGTGGTTTTCCGTGTTCTCCAGAACTGTTTTGAAATGCCAAAAGCACTTGCCTTAAAAACAAACTAAAAACATCTCACTGGGATCTCGTTAGGCTTACGCAGGCCCTAAAGGAACCATACCCTTTTTGTCATGAAGAAACAAAAAGGAGCACAGTTGGCTCATCAGGTAGCTTTGAGATTGGTACCCCTTGGATCATTTATGTAAGAGCTAAAATACCCAAACAGCCCCCAAAAAACAACCCACATTAAAACAAAAAGAAGTTTAAACCCACAGAGATGAGGAAGGGCGGCACAGGGAGCACAGGAAGTTTTCAAAAGCCTGTAGACCCTTTGAGTGCATTTAAAATAGATTATCATTCTCCTATCTAATTAGAATACAATTGCAAGAGTTTTCATTCATCTATGCTTGAGGAGTAATTCGTCTTTTTCCTCAAAGCTTTTATTTGTGAACTAGGAAAACTTTGCTTCAGAGTTTTCCTCTGCTACCAGATTTCCTGTGTGGTCAAGAACAGGTCAGTCTCTCCAGGGCTCAGCTGTTTTCAGCTGTTACGTTGATGACGAGGAGTCCAGCCTCCTAATCCTTCAGTCTGGTTTGTTCCTAAGCTCTTTTTAGGAAGCCTATCTGTCACAGTTGGTGCAACAGCTATTTGCAACCTGGAATATCTAGAAGCTGCAGTAATATAATAGCAAAATGTCATCTGCCGTGTTTCTTGGTGGCATGGTATGTGGGGGCTCTGTCTCCTACCAAAATAGTTGTGTTTTGTCTATACTGAGGAGGAAATCCTACCAGCTAGATCATTATGTGTACTGTGGTACAAAATTAAAGCTGCAGACACAGCATCTCAAAAGGAGGATAGCAATGAGCTGAGTGTACTTTTGTGATGGAATTTGGAATTGACTGCATTTTATAAATGCTCTGTGTTTGCTACTAAGAATATGCAGCTAAACTACTGGGAAACAGGAAGGCAAGATGGTGATTTGAAATTCGATCCCCAAATAGGGAGATTGTTTCAAAACATGTGAGACAATGCAAAGGCATTATGCTTTGATGCTGTGGTTCCCAAAGGAAATGACTGCAAGTACCAATCAGTACCTTCCTGGTAAATATTGCTGTTAACTTTTGTAGTCATGGATCCGATTTAAGGAGCAGAAGAAAATTGCAAATTCTAATTTGTGAAGAGTGGAAGCTCTGTCTTGAAGATGGTTCCATTCAAGCAGCAAGGTGCTTGGAGCAGTAGCTGGATGCTAGTAGATGTGATCCTTGCTGTAGTTTGACAAACATTTAGTGCCTTTTTAGTTAAGAGTGTAGATTGGACATGCCATCTATATACAGTCTCTTGGTCTGTAGAGCTGTTGATTCTTCTGTTAGTTTTTTCATTCTTTTTTTGGCTTTTGTCTTTCTCTACTGTCCTTGACAATGCACTGCCTGGGGCAGAAATCCTCAAATTTACTTTGATTGGGTGCTGGCAAAACAGGAAAAGCTAGATAGCTCCTGTGCTCTGGAGAAGGTGTTAAGCTGTTTTGGAAACAGAAGTGTCTTGCATGCCACCAGTATGTATACTTTAAGTTGGGAATTCTTGGCCTAGAGCAGAACCACAAGCATGTGCGTCTCCTGTCCTTCCTGGCTGGAGGAGCTGCCTTTCTGCTCTCTGGAACATCTTGTATAGGAATGGCCAGCAGACTTTGGCACATTGGCATGGAAACCAATGTAGCTGGAGGTAGCAGCCCTCCTAGTCTACTCACATGACTGTACCTCCCAGTGCTGAATTGCTATTTTCTCACTGTTACAGTGAGCTTTCTGTAGTTTTTGTCTGATTTCCTGTTTTAATTTGTCTGACTTCAGCTTTCAACACTGATTCTTCTTCTGACCCTTGTCAATGAGATTAAAACCCTTTAGTTCCAAGTATAGTACTGAAGCCTCATATTTTAAATGAGTACTTGATCATTGTTTGAGGCTATAGCTGTTACTCTGCTCACTATGCACATAAGCATGTACCTGGTGCTGAGCTATTTTCATGACTGAAATGACTGTTGAGACTACTTCAGAGGTATAAGCAGGGATTGAGCACCTGCTTTCTCCTTCAGACTGGTTGGAATGAAATATCCCTTGTAGTCATCTCACTACATATCTGTCTCTTTCACCTCCTGGAACATCACTACCTTTCTTATTCTGTCATTCTTGCAATTTTATTTTGTTTTTACAGTGGATGATAGTACTGGAGTTATAAATTGTGTCTGCTGGAAAAGTCCCATGGTAGCAGAAGCATCTTCGTCAGGTAATTTGACAAATAAACTATTCCTTTTTTGACCGTACGTTTTTGCTTATGTCTCTCTTATGTAATTTTCTAAATGATCAAACTTGCAGAAGAGCAAATTCAATGCTTTTCTTAATTTAAACCATCACTTCCTGCAGCCTAGTCCATTTTGGGAGTCTTCATATTACTCTTTATGTTGTGTCCAATGGTGATGCCAATGAAAGCACTACACTATGACCTGTCAAGCCTTTTCCTTATCTGAGTAATACAGTATTTCAGTTCTGTGTTGTGACATTGTTCAGAGAATCCTTCTCTTATGGCTCTTTTTGTGATTTCATCTAGTGAGGAACTAGGCTGGAAACCTGCCACATGCCACAGCTTCTGTTTCCAAAGCCGATCTATTGACCAGCAACCTGGTATACTTTCCCCACTCTTGTGATACATAGTGGTTTCAGCATTCATCTTCTTTGTTTGCATTCATATTCTTCTGCTCATGCATATACTGTCCTTGATGAACTTGAAAGTAGCGTGAAACACAGTGGAAGGACGCCAGCAGTCTTTTATGATTTGGGAAAGTTCTAAATGTGCAGAAATTGTGCATTTGAAATTAACCTATTATTGCGTTCAATAACAGAAGAGGTCTCTAGTGTCTGGTTTTCTCTTTGATTTTTCTCCCACCATTTCTCATACCTTAAAAGGTCATGTGGTAGATTGACAACCCTGATAAAGAGCTGATGAAATCCTACTGAAACAAATGTTACTAGTGTCATGTGGTGGTGTTAGGGTTATCTACACATAGAATGGGGAGAGAAAAACTTGGTATTAAAGTTAAAAACACTTGTCTGTGGAACAAGCCCAGTTTTATAGACAGATAATTCTTACTTCTGTTTGACAACAATATGACAATTGATAGAAACAATCCCAACTGCAACTGGAATCTAGAAATCAGCTCTCACTTTTCGAGAGGTGATGTTGTGGCACAGCTTTCAAAAAAAATAATGGGGATCCCCAATCAAATCTGTTTTTTCATGAGGAACTAAATGCTGCTTGAAATAGCATGAGGACTGAGAATGCTTCTTTCAACTTTGTGTTCTTATTTTACCTGTACATCAGCAGTGTTTGAATGGACATGGTGCTACTAGTGGAAATCAATTAATTTGTACCTTGCTAAAGAAAACAGCTCCTGGGGGGAGAGGAAACTTCCTTCCAGCCCTTTGTAATTGTGATCAGGGATACTTGGATCATGAATCAGGTTTTATATTATGAAGAATTTACTCTCCTGCAAAGGTGTGTTATGTAAATGTGAAGTTCTGTCAAGTTTCATTCATCTCAGTGTAGACTCCAAATTGCGTCACATGAATACTTTGGCCACACCTCAGCTGACTCATTTTTTTATGTAAGAAGTTCAGCTGACCTTTCTTTTCACCTCTCGTCCATCTTAGCATGACAAAATCAAAAATGACAGAACCCATTTCAATTAATGTTCCAACTTTGCAACCCACCTACAGCATTTTTAGTAGTAAATCAGTATCTCCTCCTCATCCCTTTTGCACTTTCCCTGGGTGATCTAGTAAATAAAAATATAATACTGTAAACTGACTTTATCACCCAAATATTTTGCTGCCCAGGACCTTAACCTTTTTTAATAATGTGAGTCTTGGGATGTTTAGGTGAATGCGAAAGGACAGTCCTCTTGGCCTTAATCCCCCATTTCCTTTCCCTCACTTCTTGCAGGTCGTCCAAGCACACCCAGCAGTCTTACTATGCTTGAACAGATAAAGAAGGTCCAAGAAATGGTGAGCCAGAAAACTAAACTGGAGATTGGGGATGTTATCAGGGTCAGAGGTCACATCCGAACCTACAGGCAACAAAGAGAAATTCGTGCTTCATGTTTTTGTGAGTGTTGTGGACCTGTGACATGTGTATCTTTGTCTGAATATTGTCTGAATTCATGAGATGATCTAAGCTGTATGTAATTCACTGGATTATTTCCACTTTATTTTTTGGCACCTCATTTTTCTAAAGAGATTTACATCTGTATGTCTTTATTTCAGTTTTAACAGTGGAAGGTTAGAAGGCACACTACTAAATGTGTAGGATTAGATTGCCTGCAAATGAGGCCTTCCTGGAAAATGACTCATTTATAAAAGAACTGTAAAATATTACTAGCATGCATACAAGAATACTATGCAGACACTGTGATTTGGTATCTGTGACAGTGACTTCCTCTTCAGTCTTGTTTGTGTTGAAGTAGAACAGCCAAAGCCCATGGGAAGGGAGTTGGTGATGTTTTATGTCATGCATCATCAGGAGCATTAGCTGCTTCAGAGAAACAGTTGCTGGTATAATCCATTCTGTGGGCAGACAGCAGCATATGGGCACATTGTGCCACTTGAAGCCGAGGTTCTTCCAAGCTCTCTGGTTCTGCAGAATGATTGGAAAGTGAAGCCTCATCTTCAGGCACTAGGGCACATACCTGTGTGCAGGTGCTGCCCCTGTATCCAACAGCTCTTTAGACAACAGGGTTCTGAAGTCAACTCATTGCACCCTACGAGCTCCCACTTACATAACTTCTCTGTGTCTGTGCTATTGTGTTAGAGTCAGTTTTACCCAGTGAAATCTTTGAGACAATATAAAAATGATTCCTTGGGGGGAAGCCCATCTCTTATAAAAAAATCTGTAACTTAGCAAAAAGATCTAGATTTTTTTGGCTCTAATTAAAACCTGAGAGGGAATTCAACCTCCTTTCCAGATAGAAGATTTATGAATGTATAACCCATTCAAAGGCTGGTAATAACACCATTGTTTCAGTAAAAGAGAGCCATGCAGTTCAAATAGCCTCTAAATTCCTTTCACTTTGGCCCAAAAAAGGCCCCTTACTATGGCTCCTTAACTTTATGTAATGGATAAAGACTTCTGAAAAGTAAAATAGAGATCATGAAGTCTGGTTAAATAAATTGTCAGACAAAAGCATGGTCTGCAGTGCATCACAACAGGCCATTTACCTACTTGTAAGCTGTAAAAGCAGGAGTGGCCTTTGTGGTTTTGTTTTTATAAAAGCAGAAGTGAACAAAATTTACCAATTTAATGCTGGCATGGGAAACTCTGTTGTGTTGCCTCAGGTGTTCTTGCTTATAAGATTGTCATGGCAGTCCTGGCCAACTATGTGTGTTCTTTTTACCGCTTCAGATAAAGTGGATGATCCTGTGTGTAATGTTCAAATTTCAAGGATGCTGGAACTCCCCTGTCTCTATAGAGAAGTTTATGATAAACCTTTCCAAGGCCCTGAGGAGGGACAGAGGTAAACACAGTATCCAGACTGGTCTTGGGGCAAAGTGTGTTTTTTACTGCTGTTTATTTCTTATTGTAATAACTGTGGAGAAAGATAGAACAGGTCCCAGCTGTGATTTAGTCTCTGCATATGCGTAAAGTAGCAGCCTGCTTTTCTCCCAAATAATTAATAAACCACACAGATGAAATCACAGAATACCAGGTTGAAAGGGACCTCAAGGATCATCTGGTCCAACCTTTTTATGCACAGATACCTGTGTATAATCTGAGAAAAGAAATATAACTCTGAACCAAAGTGAGTATTCAGAAGGGGGTAAAATGCTATGTACAGATCTCTTGCTTCTAGTAAAAAAGCTGGGGTATTGAGCAAGATTTGGAGGCGAGGTCAACAGGTTAGATGGAGGAGCATCTTTGCCTGATTTTATGTGTAAGGATAAGGGGCTGTTCCATTGAAATGCTCTCAGCTTCTACTGCCCTTGTCATCATCAAGTCACAGACATAACCTCAGTGAACTGATTCAAACACCCACCCATTCCTGTATTCAGTTTAAGGTTAGCTGGATGTTTACTGGAAGGTCTGATGCATGTAGGGTGTTTTCAGAGACTGCAGATCTTAAAAGCACAACATTGTTACAGCAAATGATTTAAGAGGAACAGTTCAATGCTTATTGCATATAAAAATGGTCTGGTTTAATTAAAGATTTAAATACAGATTCTTTAAGGACACTAAAATAGCTTTAGATCTTTGCAAACCAGTCTAGCAGGCTAACTTCAGGTAACTAAACAAATGCTAAGAGTGTCATTTCTTGCCTTTTGACATGTTCTGTGTATCCTTGTAGTGGCCTGGAGGATCAGGCATTCTCGATCAACATGCTGCATGAGAAAGTGCAAGGCTTTTTATTAGAAAACAAAATTCAGACCTTTTACCAACAGGAGTTGGAAACAATTGATACATTGGTGTCGCTGGTTGTTACGCATCTACCCACTCCCGACTGTCAGGAGGTAAGTGAATGTAACTGTTTCAAGTGTTTGGGGGGAAGAATACCATGTATTTTTTTATGCATAAACAACCAGATAAGAGGCTGGTGCCTTAGGAGGATTCAAAAGCCACAAGTGCTTTAGCTTTATGCATGAATTGTTTACCAGAGCTTGAGGAAACCTGGTCACTTGAGACATATAAAAGTGGACTGAAGAAAGCAATGTGAGAAAATCCTGTTGTTAAGTGTAATCTTGTATTAGGCCTAAGTAACCTTAGTCTGCAACAGGCACTAACTTACCTAGATCTGTAAATAGTGGCAGTATGAGAAAAGAAGATCCCTTTAAGGTGCTTGAGCTGTTTGGGACAGATGTTTGAGATCCAGAATTCGAGCAGGAAAAGGAAGACGGTCTTCCTCATTTAAAGCTCAGTATATTAACAGAGATGTAGCTTTCAAAAGGAGATTAAAATGAGTGGCTGAACAGTGCTCCCTGCTACATGTTTCTTTTGCTAGAAATCCCTAATTGTGAAAGGCCATGATTGAAAGGATCAGAAGGTGGAATTTAGCTGAAATCAGTTTCCATGCAGTTGCGTGTAACCAAACTATTAAGAAACTTTCCAGTGAGATAGTACATTCTTGATCTACTGCAGAATTGGAATTAGAACAACAAACATTTTGTCAAATGGCTTCATATTACTCTGTGTTATTTGGATAAATTACAGACCAGATTCTTAACTGGTGTGAAGTGGTAAATTTCTGCAGAAGTAACAGTTATGGCTTTTAGTATGTTACCAATGGCAACTGAAACTTAAGCTTGTGTTGTGATACGCTTGTTTATACTTAAGTTTCTCTAGAGAAATAAATCCGTGGAAGTCATTTTCACTGCCTGATTTTGATATGCACTGTAAAAGTTAAGTGCTGTGTTATATTAACATCTGATGTCTGTTTAATTCTTTAAAAAAAAAAAAACAACCAAAACAACAAACCCAAAACCAAACCAAACAAACATGACAAAAAACATTCCCTTGTGGATGAGGTCATAGCTGCTTCCTGATCGCTGTTTTAGCTGTTTCTTTTATTGAAGGTGGTTTTGTTGTTTGCTTTAAAGTGAGCATAAACTGTAACAGGAGCAACTCTCATTTTTGAGAGAAAAGTTTGATACTAGAATATCCAACATGGGACAGGGTATGTTTTCTAAACTAGCTGGAATCGTATTAAAAGTTCCCAAATGCTTTACATTAAAGAAAGTAGTGGTCCTTGTAACTAATAATGGAAACTTCCACCTTTGAAGTTTCAGCATTTATAGAAAGATCAAGATGAATAACTGCAAAGCCATTTAAAGCAGGAACTGATGCAGACCAAGCAAAAAGGCACAAAAAACCACCACCATCCAACCAGAAAAACTCAAACCAACAAAACCAATGTAGCATCAGTGTTGTTAGCAGCCATGAGGAGCTATCATAATAATGAATAGTTACTCCTGACCATGATGCAAAGGTGTGAGTATGTGTCCCAGGAATTTGGGCACACAGATGCTTATTTAGAAATTGCAGTTCTCCCCATTGCCCTTTGGTATTAATCCCTTGCAAAGAGGCTTATATATCTTTGCATAAGAAAGAACCTGCAGTTGTCAAGTGACGTGAATGTCTTAAGAGGAGTGCCAAGTAATGGTCTAGAAATGCATTTCATTGATCTTTTGCCCTGTCTCTTGAAGGGGTCACTTCTCATAACTGGCAAAGGGTCAAGTACCCAGTTTGATCCACAAAAGTAAGTGTAATAGATCTGGGTTCTCTCACCCTTTTTCTCTTTTCCCCTCTGTAGTCTTCTGGTTTATATTGCCCTGAAACCAAAAGGATAAAGGGATCTGCGTGGAATGATGTTATTTTATGTCTATTTGGCTAGGCAATAGCTAGGTGAGTGGACCAAAAAATTTAGACCACATGTCAATATATGCGCTTGCTCACTTCTTGCATTTTTCCTTTATGTGAAAGGATAAGTTATTTGGATGTATAACTTCATCTTTTTTAACCCCGCAACAGTTGCTGTTAAACTTTTTTCTTGTCTCTGTCGTCCTTACCCTGTGACCCTAGGAGATGTGGTGCACCTGCTTCATCTCTTTCCCAGCCTTTTAAGTACTTGCATAGTGTTCATCATAGTGGGAGGTTATCTCCCCATGCAGTATTTTCTTCAGGGAGGTGGTGAGTTGCTATGGAGTCACTGGCAGTGGTGTGGAGCAGAGGTTGAAGATAGAAGGAGGTAGCTGGTATAGCTTGAGGTAGGCAGCATGTCTGTTCATTTTCAGCATTACTGTACCCTGAGGCCTGTCTACGTCCCATCCATGTCTTACAATACCTAGAACTAGTCCTAATGGCTCTCCAGCAGTGCAGTCCTCTGTCTCTCCAGAATAAATTTCCCTCTAGCAGATGCACATAGAATTCAAATCATGTCCTCTGCTCAGACATACACTAGAGAGTATTTAATTTTATAGCCTACAGAGGATGGGTAAGAGAATTGGAAGGCTGCGTGTTTTTAAAGCCAATAGAGATTTATTTCACATAACAAGTGCCCCCTCTGTCCCTAAGCTTTAGGCTTTCCCTTATCCCTTAAAACAAATGACTTTTGAGACTGGAGGGCTTGGTGCCACAAGGAAGACTAAAAGCAAGAAACAGAAGAAGCAAGCTTGTGCTTAGAGAACCTAAGGGTGTACTTGCTGGATTTAGGCGATTATGTTTGGCAAATAGACAAGCCTTTGGTTCCTTTTCGTGAAGAAAACTGCATGTGAACTTGGTCCATCCAGTTTCTCAACTGGATTAAATATGTCATAGAATCATAGAATTGTTAGGGTTGGAAAGGACCTTAAGATCATCTAGTTCCAATGCAACTAACCAGCCCTGATTAACTATTTTTATGTACTTCTTCCATGCGTAAGCTATAGTGTGTGCTATTTTAGTATTGCCATTCTAGTCTGTGTATGTCAGTAGCTTAGACACATATCTTGGGTTGTGATTTTCAGGCTCTACTGTTTTTACTACTTGTCATTGCTGACCCCAAGATAATATTCAAATCACAAGTATACTTGTTAAAGCAGGGAGTTTTATGGTGCTGTTTGTACTTACTGTATATACCCTGTACATTGTATTGTAGGTATAATATAGTGCATTATACATTCTTAATGCTATGTGCTTGTCTTCCTGCCTCTTGAGGAAGCTTCACTGCTGCTTTAAATATGTATATTGCAGAGCTTATTATAGGACTGCAGGACTGACATGTCCAGAGTCACTATTACTAAAATTATCACCTGTCTGTGCTGAGGATTAAACCTTGCATGAGAAACTGCAAAGGGCAATTCCGTGAGTAGAATCACGTGTGTGGTTACACCAGGAAACTTCAACACTATCAGGGTGTGTTGTGATTTGTAATAAGCCAAAGGTTACATACTTTCAGCATTTTGAACAAACTATTTCCTGTACCACTTCATTCTTTGACCTATTATTGATTGTACAGAGTTTGTCTCATTTTAAAGATCTGAGAATAACTGGTTGCACAGTACCAGCTCACTAAGCTGTGTGAAACTCTTCAGATGTAGTATATTGATTAAAATACCAATTCTGGAGATATAGATTCCTCTGCTGGCTTTGCTACAGAGTCCTTGGGCGGTCTTGGGAGTAGGGGTAGTGGTGGTAAAACTGTTATTTAATAGCTGCTTCTTTTTCTGTAAGGGGGGAGGAAAATGCTTTGCAAAAGCAATGAATGATTTTGGGGAAACTAAGGCATACTGAGGTGAGGGGCATTTTGTAAAGCGAAGTGTGAACATTGTGAGAGTTAAATTCAAAATCCATATTCAAATCTTGCTGGTGCTTTGGATGAGCACTTAAACTACTAAACATCTGCATTTCTCTGATGAAAAGCTTTGTAAAAGTAAAGTGATGGCTAATAAGCTGTGACTTGGAACTACGCTAACAGCTACAATACATCCTAGTAACTGTGATAAATGCTTGCATTTCAAATCTGAAATAAAAGCAGGATTTCATAGCCTAGATTTCTTCTTTCTGTGTATAGCCCCATGTTCAGTCTCCTGCAGATTTCTGCTCAGTAGACTAAATCGGAAGCTTAGGTGTACATTGGCTCTGACGGGTTCCAAGTCCAGAATAATTGATGGCCTGGTTTGCTTTAACAGAAAGTGATAAGGTATTGGGAAGAAGTACTATTGACTTACAAATTTTCAGGATGAGATGCTGGAGATATTTTCAGTGGACCAAAAGAACAGATTAAGTAATTTTGGCTTGTGTTCATGTAAAAACTCCTCAATTGTTGCTGTACTTGTAGGGATGGAAAGGAGGAAGCATCTTCTAGAGCACACCAGGAAAAAAATGCAAGCATATTGTGTCATTTCAGGTTAATGTTGAAGTCTCTGAAGAGGGCAGGAGCCCTCATTTGTTTTTTAGGAGCAGTCCTTCTGCAGTGGAGCCCTTTCGCTTGGCCTCTGCAGGACATATGAGAGAGTGCTGATACATAGCAGCTGCTTACTTATTTTCTTGCCCCCAAACCTGCTTCTTTGCCTTTGCTCTGTCAGTGTCTTGACTTGCATTCTTAGTGATTCTGTTTCAGTACCCATCCAGGCTGAGCTGTGTGTCAGTTCACAGAGAGTCTGGTTTTAATTATCTCCTTTTTCTGGTGGGCTCTCAGTGTTAAGCCAAACTGAATAATCATCGTGCTGCCTTGGAGGTATTTTTATCTTTTTTTTTCTTTCCCCAAATGTTTGCTTTCACATTAAAAATTGATCAGAGTCTTGAGGTGGTTGCTTTGCTAGCAGTTTCTTAGATTCTTGAGGATTTATTACTGCATTTGAGAGTCAAAGTCCCTTCATTTTACGTATGGTGAAGGCAATGTGCTTTTCCATGAGAAAATATTCACTCCTAACCCTTCCTGCTACATTTTGTATTTGTTTCTTCAGTTTCTCAGAAGAGGCATTGTAAAGAGAAATATGATAGTGGTATTAAAGTTATGACTGGAATGGTGTCCAGATGTATGGTCAAGTTTGTAATTGGAAGCAGTGACTGTTTTTATCCACACTGATATAGCTGTGGTGGACAGGGGCACAGATCAACATTTGGGAACTGAAGTCCTTCAGTCTGGAAGAGAAGGAGAAAACTGAACTGAGAATAATGGCCATTGTTCTGTGTTAATTATTTTGAACTATTATGCAATGATTTTTGACTCTCAGTCTGAGAGGAAAAAGCTGTTGTGGGACACAGAAAGAGTGAGATGTGACTATGGCCTGTCGAAATACTGAGGTCTAGCTTGGAGGGAGAGGATGTAGAAACTCATGATACATGCTAACAGTTACATCCCTATTGGATCTTTGAACTATTCCCAGTTAGACACATCAGCTTCCAGGCTTAGAAGCAGCTGGAGTTTTGTTTGAGACTTGCAAATTGATTGAATGAATGCTTTGTGGAAAGATATTCTTCTATTGCTAACGTGGTGTCTGTTTCACGTATTTGTGCGAATTCGTTCTAGTGCATATGCGGTTGCCTGTTTCACTCCCAAGGCTTCTGTGGGTGAAGTAGGATATGTGAAGTCCTTTTTTTCAGAATAGGGTGGAAGCATTTACAGTGAAAGCTGAAGAAATAGCTTGGCAAATCATGCTTTGGTTGCTCTGTTGTGGTTCTAGTTATCACATGTTGGTTTGTGGGAAGCAGTTCAGCTCTCTTCTCAAAGGAAACCACAGGGAGCACAGTGTGCTTCCAACAAATGAGCAACCAACAATTGGGGAATGAAGTACTCTGTGCGGATAAATGGGAAGTTGCAGGGCATAGTAGGACAGATAAGATAGGGAGAAGAGTAAGTCGTGGTCTTGCTCTTGTCTACCCATACTTTCTCTTTTCCACAACTGATTCTTCTTTTCCTCCCACTTCCCTAGCTGTCATTCTACTGTCTTGGCTCTGTTCTGTTTCCAAGCAAGCCCTGCTTCTCCCTAATTTTTTTTTCCTCCCCTTTCCTCCTACTCTATTAGGAGTGTCCCAAGTGCAGAACCCTTTATTCTAAATGGCATCCTCAGTTATGGACTTCCAGGCCCACCTCCTTTCACAAGAGACTTGTTCCCTGCCTGCCCTCAAAACTGAATCCTTTGTTCACTCATTTTCTATACCTGTCTTAATGTCTTATGTTCTCTTTATCCTTTCATTTCATCAGGCTGTGGAGAATCTCTTGAGAGCATGACCAGAATGTGTGCAAAATATTGGAAACACGGGATAAGAAACAAATACTGCTCTTGCCGATTTCCTCCTTTTCCTTGGATGCTTCCTCAGTTTCAAATCAAGAGATGGGCATCTAGTCCCCAGCATTTGGATTCTTCCTGAATATCACCTTCCAAAGCACTACCCTTTTTACCAGGAAAACTCTGAATATGATCAAAGCTTGATTAGCTAAACAGTCAAACGCTGAGTGAGCATCACAAACCTATTCCAAAAGAGAGTTCTCAGTACACAATCAGATAGCTGCTAAATACAAAGGAGGTATTTAGGAGATTGCAGTTCCTTAAGAATAGCAAACTCTTCTGGTTATTTTTTTGTTTTTAAAGCTCAGGGATGTTGGTTGGTTTATGCATAACAGATACGATTTGTGAATTACAAAATAAAAACCCTAAAAGTGTAATAAAATCACCTGAAGTTGTCTTGCTTTTGAAAGCATCTGGAGCTGTTGCTGGTAACTTTAGTTGAGCTGAGATTTCTCACCATCTACTTCATTCCTTTCTTCCCATCCAGGTGAAGTCAAAAAGTAACTGCAGTTCCAAAAGGATTCACAGTGTTTTTAAGCAAGCAATAAGGATGCTACAAGAAAAAGGGGTGGTTTTCCAGAAACCCGGTAGTTCCAAGGACTTATACCATGTAAGAAACTAAACTGTGGTAGCAAAGAAGTTCAGGGCTCTGACTTTCACAGAGAGTAGAAATGTTTCAAAAATAGTAGAAATGTTTCAATAAAAGAAGCTGGGCATCCAAGTGCTGTCCTTTACTAGAAGTCTTACCTGCAGCTTACTTCACTGTTGCTTTATCTCTGTATCATAGAATGGTTTGGATTGGAAAGGACCTTAAGATCGTTTCGTTCCAACCCCCTGCCTGGGGGGGGCAGGGATGCCTCTTACTAGAACAGGTTGCTCAAGGCCCTGTCCAACGTGGCCTTGAACACTGACAGGGATGGAACATTCACCACTTCCTTGGGCAACCTGTTCCAGTGCCTCACCACTCTCACAGTAAAGAACTTCTTCCTTATATCCGACCTGAACTTCCCCTGTTTTAGTTTGAACCCATTACCCCTTGTCCTATTGCCACAGCTCCTGATGAAGTCACTCTCCAGCATCTTTGTAGGCCCCCTTAAGATACTGGAAGGCTGCTATGAGGTCTCCACGCAGCTCCTGTTCTCCAAACTGAACAGCCCCAACTTTCTGTCTTCATACAGGAGGTGCTCCAGACCCCTGATCATCCTCGTGGCCTCCTCTGGACTTGTTCCAGCAGCTCCATATCCTTTCCTATATTGGAGCCACCAGCACTGCACAACATACTCCTAAGTGAGGTCTCACGAGAGCAGAGGGGCAGGATCACATCCTTTGACCTGCTGGTCACACTCCTTTTGATACAGCCAAGCATGCAGGTTTCTGGGCTGTGGGCACACACTGAAGCTGGCTCATGTTCAGTTTCTCATCAACCGACACCACTAAGTCATCCTCCGCAGGGCTGCTCTGAATCTCTTCTCTGCCCAACCTGTAGCTGTGCCTGGGATTGCCCTGACCCAGGTGCAGGGCCTTGCACTTCACTTTGTGGAACTTCATGAGGTTGGCATTGACCCACAGGCACTCACCTACTGGGTGGTTCTTTTTGTAACTCGGCACCAGACTTACGCACTGATGCTATTCTAAGTGCAGTCTGTGTTCAATGGTTGCAAAACTGCTGATGCAGCTTGAGCACACTGAAGCCTGAGACCTGGGATAGTTCTCTTGATCGAAGTGGAGTGACACTTGGTGTTTGGATTCTGTTATATCATGTTCTTTGTCTAACTCATGGGTGCTGGTAATGGTACTAAAAATAACTAAAGAGTTATCATTCATTGTTAATCTCAGAGGCAGTATATAATGCAGACTGTAGTTAAGACAGTGTTAGTTTAGAATACATGGCATTGGATTGCTTTTCAACAGCCATGCCATCTACTGTGAAATAGACTGCTATGAACTGTCAGTTTCTTCTGTTTTCTCCAGGTGACTGACCATGATAAGGAGCTGCTTAAAGTGACCCTTGATGTGATTAAAGAAGACTGTCGAAAACCCAGGCGTAAGTAACAGTGTAATCAGGGCTCTTATGAACTGTTGCTGATATATTGATGACAATATCTCCTCCTGCTGCTGGATTAGGTATGCTTCTTGTCCTTACCCTTGAACTTGGAGCTAAGCTGTTGGTGTAGCTAATCACTATAGCTGAAAGCAGGAGTGCAAGAGCAGCTTCCTGTCAGCATGGAGAAAGAAGGAGCAGGTGTGCCCAGCAGGAAGAAGACCTCTCAGATCTGAAACAATTAGCCATTTTCTTAGATCTATATTTTTGGAGAATACTTAGATTTTGGGAGGAACCAAACATGACAGAGTTAGGTCAGCACCCAGCAGCTGTTGCTTTGCACTTCAGATAAGTAGCAAATCTTGCTAGCTCAGTTTCTACAGGGGTGTTGACGCAAAAAGTGACTGTGCAGAAAGGTAAAGTCCCCACCTCCATTAAGTCAACAGGATATTTGCTGTAGATGTTAAGCTCAGGTAGAGCTCAGGTGGTTGTTCTTTGCAGGTAGGAATTTCAGTCTAACAAAATCCACTTCTTTTCAGGTAATGTACCTCATGTGGCTTCTGAGTTATCCCTGTCCCTGGAGTCTACTGTGTCATATTGCCATAGCGATAGCTTGTGCTTAACTTGAGCGTTTGCTAATTACACTGGCACATTGCTACAGAGTTTCAATTCATTGGACAGAATGTGTCAGCAGGGATCACTTGCAGCTACTTGTGGGGTAGAAGGCTCTTTAGTACAGAATGAAAGACTAACTAGAACATCAGGCATATAATCTTAAATTGCTTTTATCCTTATCACAACCATAATAGTGCTTGTAGGACCTGGTGTATGATTCTTATCCTGAAAGAAAATAGGCAAAGTGAAGTAGTATTATTTCTGAGGTTTCAACTGGCTATTTCAAGCAGTGGGGTAATTGCAGACAGGGTTCCTAGGTGGAGGTAGGAGTTCTGTGTCTTTGAGGGGTGGAGGAGTAGATGTTAATGGGCATGCAGGTGAAGATGGGCTTGTTTGCTTGAGGCTGTTCCGGTACAAGTTACCGTATCACATTGTTTTATTGTCTTTTTTCCCATTAACAAATACAAACATAATCTCTGTAAGTGTCAAGTCATTCTTCTGCCCATTTTATGCACCAGCTGGTTCTCATGGGAACCCATTTTTTTTTTTTGCCACTATGAAGGCCAGAACCTGCATATAGCTGACACGGGGCACTGAGCGGCTGCCTGGTGTTTAACTCCTCTATTCCGTACTATCGCACTGGTGAAGTACTGAGAGGCTGGGAAGATCTTTCTCCTACTTGGGAAGAGTCAACAGCAGACAGAAACTTGTAGATCAGTCCCAGAAAATAAAGAGTCCCGAGTCCTCAAAGCCGTTTTTTCCGTACTGAGCAGGTTAAAAATAGCAACTGCTTTACAGAGCCTCTTGTTCTGCTCGAAGCTTCCCATCTCCTTAGTTTCCTGTTGTAAAGAGGACAATTTCCAGGTCGGTGTCTCTTTGCTAGTTTTCAGAAAAACCTTTTCAATGCACTGGTAATAGGAGATTCTGAGGAGGAAAGCCAAGAAGCTTCAATCCAGACCAACAGGGTACTGCGGATATTTTACTGTCGCTGAATGATGCAAGAGCGCAGAGCTCAATGTGACTGTCGGCCCCCCTCTGCTGGTGGGTTGGCAGTCTTAGCCAGCTTGGCCTTGAAGAGTAGGTTCGTGGTGAGAACATAAGAACATGGTAATACCTAAAGGGCTTTTGCTTATTTGTTGCAAGAAATTGCTACCCATTTTCCTTCAAAAGTAGTATTAATCTTCCATGGCAGAAAGACTGATTTAGGATGAACCAAGCTCTTCTCTCCAGTGGGTTACTTCTCTGCCACTTTTCAAGGCAATGCCTCACCCCATTGCTTCTGACACATTATCGGGCCCAGCCCAGTTGTCTGGAACTACTTTAGAAATAAAGAAAATCCCCAGCATGCCTAGTCAGAGCTCCACAAACCCTGACCTGTAATATGCCTACTTGACAAGCCTAGTCCTTGGCTCCAATTGTAATTCCACACTCTGATCTAAAGTGCCCTCATGCAAGGCCACTCTGAGTCCACCTAGAGGCCTAAGACAGCCAGAAAAGGATGACAGCACGTTTTGACTCCAGCCTGAACTGCAAAATGGAAGACTTAGTACAGATTTGGGTGGGTGGATTTGATTTGGGTTTGTTTTGTTTTTTTTTTTTTTTTTGGGGGGGGGGGGGGGGGGTGGGGGGCCGTTTTTTTGGTTTTGTTTTTTTTTTTTTTAATTTTACTCTAGTTTTAGGCTTAGCTGAGGCCAATAGTAATGAAGGGGAAAAAAAAAAACAGGACCACTTCAAGTTAAATTTACTATATCAGAATGGATCCCATGTGAGATGTCCACAGTGGCAAATGGTACCTGTTCTGTGACTCTGTCCTCTCTGCTATTGGTAGGTTATTCACAGCCCGGCTTACCTCAGCTCGTGGACAGAAGCTGGAGTGCAGTATGTCAATGAAAGAGGGACAGCATCACTCTACTGCAAGAAGCGTATTCCCTCAAAGTTGGATCATAGACTAGGAGTGTTTCTGGTTTACTTAATGATAGTACATACCTGCAGCTACCCCAAAATGCCATTTTCTGCCAGCATGTAGGAGGAAAGTATGTATTGTACTGTTGGGTAACACTTGAGTCACTATTCTAATTCATTGAGACTTAAGGTAAGTTAGATCAGGGATGGGCACTTTGAGCCTTCTTATGACAAACCTGTGACTAATGCAAAATGCAGCCAGCTACTTTGTTTGCAACAATAGCCACTATGTCCAGGTAGAGTCATTGTTCTGTTCCTTGCACTTAGCCATCCTAGGGTGGTGGATGCATTTTTGGCTACCAGCCACTAAGGTGTTTTATCATGCTGGCTTACTGACTTCTAAAGAAGTATCTTTGCTGGATTCACAGCCTAATAGGAATTAGGCTGAACTGTTTATTTCCTAGTACTCAGCATTGCGTCCTACCAGTGACTTTTCTCCATAGCTTCTCAGGCAGTTCTGTGGCTCAGCTGATTCTAGAGTAGAGAGTGGCAAAAATATAAACAAAGGCAGCAAGAACGAGTTACAGGGACTCCGCTGTAACTTCTCAAACTTAACTTACATCATGTGAGCTGAGGAGGAGGGAAGTTGTTTTTTTTCTGATCCATCTCATTTATGCTCCTTTCCATTATTAGCCATGGGGGAGAAAGAAGTCTGTTGCAAGTTCAGCTCTCGGGGAGACTGGGTTTAAAAGGTGTGTTGGATGAAATGTTGACTGAGACAGCTGAGCTTCAAGTAGGCCCAGAGTAGCTGCATGAAGTACTGCAGCAGCCATTTAGGACTTTTGTCTCTGGTTTGCCCTCTAGGAAAGGGGATTCTTTTGCATTTCTGATCTCTTCTATATTTTCATGGTTAATTCCTCTTAAAAGAGCGTAAAATTTGATACTTCTGTGAATTTCTACTTCTGTTATTGTCTGAGTAGTCTAAGTGTGGGGATGGGATTGCATTGCTAGATGAACGAAAGTTGCATTGTAGCAGATTTTCCACAAGATGCCAGCATTGGGCAAGCAGTTAAGGGTCCTGGCCACGGAACTTTCTCTGTTCTGGCTGGCTTCGAGCTTGGGTATGAGCAAAAGGGTTTTAACTTGGTTTCTTCTGCACTTGCAGAAACTGTATGGCTTGCATAAGTGCTCAGTGGAGGTACCCTGAAGTTATTAACCTCATCATCAGATTGTACTGAATGAGCCCTGTATATTAGAGATTGCAAGACTGATGATATTTTGCCCTTATTGTTAGTGTTACAGCCCTGACACTTCCCAGAACAGTCAGGAGGAACAGTTGAGAATCAAAGAGCTGTAGGCATAGACTGGGTCTATTCCTTCTGAACACACACATCTCTGCTTTAGTACCTAGGGCATTCTTCCTCTTTGACAGCTGTGGCTTTTTCATGACTAATCTGGATTATAATAGTTAAAAGTCTGAAGCCTTTCCTCCATGCCTGACTGTGTTTAACTTCTTTTTTTCTGCAGATGCTGAAAAAGGCTGCCATTTCCTTCATATCTTAAATTGTGTTTGTCAGAGCTACAACCCCTCTCTGACTGAAGTGGTGATGCACCGTGTCTTGGAACTGCTGGAGAGAAACAGTGATGTTGTCAGCACCATGGAAGGATATTATATGACATTTTAAAGAGAGAAGATAAGATACATTCATTGTGGTCCATTCTGGGTAAAGGAGGAAGGAAGGAGAGATTGAGTGACCCTGAAAAGCTGCTATTACCTGATATGATCTAGATAGAGGGAGAAAGAAGAGCATTCTGATTCTCCAAATACTGTTTTTGTCTAGCTCTGAGAAGCTGCTAAAATACTTGTGTTAATATTCTTGCTGACTTCCTCACTATTCCTAGTGAAAGTTGTATCAGCCTGATTCTGGACATCCTAACACAGCAGGGGAGCTGGAAAAGAAACTGTTCTTTCCTTGCAGTAAGATGGTTGTCCTCACATTTACAACCCTAAAGAAAAGGCACTGCTCCAGAGTGCTGTTTACAACAGTGGGCGTGACAGGACTCATTCTTTTCTGGCTTAAAGACTGATCTTGTGATCTTTCCATATGGTAATAGCTGTGGATCTTTCTTTTTATATATGCTTTACAATACCTAGAGAAAAGACATGTAAACAAACAATCAAAAGATTTGCCTGTCTTCCTGGCAGCGTTGGTGTACCCATGTCTGTAAATGTATTCCTGAATATGTGCAACTTTTGCACACTGAAGCACAGTCCTGGCCTTTCTCTCAGAAGTTATATTTAGGAATGGAGTCCTGCATCCCTTCCCCACCCTGCAACCTTGCCCACTGCTTGTTGAGCATGTCTGGATTCCCCAGGCTACTGTGCACACTACTGGTGCGTGTTGCTGTGGATTCTGTTCAGACCAGAATTCTCAAAATCAGCCTCCATTTTGCTGCTTATTTTTAAACTGCTTCCTACATCACAAATGGCAAATCATAAATCAGATGCTTTGGAAAAGAAAACATGAAAGCCAGCAAGACCCACTGTAATCTCCATGCTCTCCATTATCTTTTGTGTCTTATATTCCTTGTCACTCTCAGGGAAAAATACTATTCATCTCTGTGCTTGCAGGGGAACGGAAGACATTGATGAAATAACACTAGCCTAAAGAAGGTTGCCATGCAAGATGTTTGATCTCTGTTATGTGCCACAGTTCAAAGCCCAGAACTGTTCAGTATTTATCCTTACAGAGGGCTTGCTGCTGGAGGGGCTTGTCTGTTTAATTAATCTGTTTAATGGTGTGGAGGTGAGACCTTTAACTTGAAAAGAGAAGAAAGGACTGAATGTATCCTTCCTCTTTCCTCTGCACCTTCCCTGGAACAGTTGAAATAGCAGACTCCCAGGAGGCAGATGTAGTGGTAAAGCCCTAAAAGGATTGACATAGCAGGGAAAAATAAACCATAGGCATGAGGAAAGCCAGTGAGTAGCCCCATGTGTGCCAGGTCTCTGGTTTGTTATATTATATGCCTCATTCCAAGCTCTGGCTGCAGTGAGATATAGGCTAAGAGAAAGGCATGACAAAATATTTGGCATTTGCATTCAGAGGCCTGTGGAAAACTCTGTCCTTAAAGAGATGGTGCGTTTGTTCATAGTGGAAAATGATATATGAATCATTCTTTTGCTGTAAATTCCCTTCTTGCTGCAGGGCTCACTAGTTTGTTTCCCTGCAGGCTGCCCTGCTGCTAGCACTGCTGCTCTGGTTCGAGTTGGGTACCTGTTAGTCAGATCTTAATATGGGCCTGAACAGGTGCTGAAAGGATGTACTTGTGCAGGAGGAAATGAAAGAGAAGATGATTAATAAAGAACTGTAGAAGTCTTCTCTCTTTGCCTGCCTGTCCCATGTCTCTGAAAATAAGTGAAAGTCCAGATTCAGAGAGAAGTGGTACTGAGGGGAATTGCACCTTAAATTTATGCCTGCAAAAGGTCTGGTTGTCCAGAGGGAAGGTTTGTTTTTCAGATTCCTGCTCTAATTACTGATCAGTTTGAAGTGGTGGTTAAAAACAAAGGCCATTTATGAAGCAGTTTGGAGTTTGATTCCTAAATTCATACTCACTTTGGGAGTTAACAAGTCACCTGCTTGGCATGAGTTCAGGGACTTTCTTTAAAGGAAAGTATACGGTGTCTTGGGCATGCGGAAGAATGTGGCATCTAATTTAAGAGACTGGCTTGGCCATTTCCTTGAAATGTTCTGTATTGGCAGAAGCTGATTTTGCTGGGAAAGGGTTAAAAGAACACTACTGGCTCAGTGGGAAAGGTGGTCTCCTCTCCTGGGTTAGAAGAAAGACTGACCCTGGTTCTCCTGAGGGTGTCAGCCAAGTGTGTGAGCTGGATGAGTTTGCTAAGTATTGGAGATACTCTCCAATTGAGAGTATATTGAAGATAGTCTGGAGATCATGTTGCTCTTTAGGGTCTCCTTAAAATATATTCATACCAAAATAGGATTACATCTTTTTCCTCTGTAGCTTGTATAGTCATACACACAGCTTCTAATGGGTTCTGCTGCACCCAACTTTAATGCTGCGCTTCCTGGGTCTTAGATGTGTTTCTGTGTGTAAAGTCTGCCTAAAACTCCATGGCACCTATTTTCCATGCATTGGAGATTCATGAAAGTGTCTTCCCTCTCTGTCCTGTCCCTCTTGCACTTTGAAAGCAGCTGTGAAGCCTCAGAGATGAAGGGAGAGGAACTTGCCTGTGGAAAGATGGATAGTCACTCTTGAAAGAACCTGTCCTTGGGGGTTTTTAAGTTGGTCCTTGCTGACAATGCTGGACTCATGTGATGGAGGGTGCATTCTGTTGGAGATTGCTCCCCAGGAACAGCAAAAAGGGCTTTTTCTCACTTGAGTTAGCTCAGGGAAGTAATATGAATGAACACAAGGGAGCCTATGGTTTTTACAAGACCAAACAGTTAAGGCAGAATTAATGGAGGAGTCTAGATTTAAGTTACAGAGATTCTAATTCTCAATAACTGTACAGAATAGTTGTGCCTTAAGTTTGCATGCTTTCTTTTTTTCCATGGTCGCCACCCAACAGAGACTAACACTCTGGTTGAGTGCATTCCCTCTCTTGTACCTACAGGGAATAGCATATGCATATGCGTGCTCAGAAGTACCCAGGCTAGCTGAGCACAGAGCTCACTGTAGGTTGATTTACCCATTTACTCAGTATCTCTACAGTATGCTTCTGTGACAGCAGTCTAGACATACCCGTATTGGTATAAGTCACCTTTATGTAAGTCTAACTACACACACTAGGGCTTTTACTGCTAATAAACTGTCTCTCTGTTTAAAGATCATATCCTTAACCAAGAGAGTCATATCATGCACGCTGTGAAAACTCTGACCACACCTACAAAATATTGTGTGGAATATACAGTGAAAGCACAGTTTCTTGTTTTGTTTACTTTGAAAACTTGTTAGGCAATGCAATTATTAGTGCTTTACTGAAGGGCTTTGAAGGTGGCACTCTAGTTTAAAATTGACAAGAATTCATGTTGTAGGACTGCTTCATGGCCAGTTTCAGTTTCCATAGAAACGGTTATGGCAGTAAAAGGCAGGTAAGTAAAATGGAGTTTTTAAAAGCAGTCAGCATTTTTGTTACTTTAGAAAGGTATGTTTCCATAGAAATGCAGCACCTGAGAGCAAAAACTACCAAAGAACCTCAATAGCAAAAGGTGAGTGCTTTTCTGGTGAGGATATGAGCTCTACCTTCAGTCCCCACCATCTGCTTAGGTGAGAGAAGAAATGAGGTGGTTCATGCCTCAGTTTCACTCTTTTGTAAATAGAGAGTAATCCAGCTCCCTGTGTAGGTATAAGCCTCAACTTTTCTTAATGTTAGTCATTAAAAGCTCTTGAGATCTGTTGATGTGACCTGTGTCTGTGTGGGAGAGGGTGAACGGATATATGCTGGAGTGGGGCTTAGTTCTAATCCAAGCCTCACTTTTGCTAATAGCTTTATCTTTCTCCACCTCATTTTACATGCATATTACTTGGCCTGGCTTGCCTTTCTGCTCTCCAGGTCCAATGAAGCAATGATGGTCTCCCTAGTTTTATTTTTATCCAATATTTTTCCTGGAATCCTATTCCCTCTTATGACTTCTTAAAAATATAAATCCAGGTAAATAAGTTTCAGGTCGTCTCGTTCTCAAATCTTTGGACTGTAAATCTGTACCTCTGGGGGTGTGTATTTTACACAAGCTAACTGAGAAATGAAGCTTTTCTTTCAAAGTAATAAATGACAAATGTAAAGATCAGCTGCATGACTGAAAGCTGTTATTTTCTGGATCTGTGCATGCTTGTGTATTCCAGTGATGAACACCATAAATAGGAGTTTGTAGTTCTTCATTCAGAATGAAAATTCATCAACAAGCATTCAGTGAGGTGTGGAGCCACATGAAGAATTATGAGACAGAGTACTGAAAATTTGCTTGTCAGAGAAATGCAGTTTCGTTTACTTTGGGAATAAGCCGATCCTGTGGGGAAAAGATGTGCCTAGCAAAGATTTGTGTCTTTATACTTACTTCTAAATGGGAAAGGAGCAAGTTCAGACCCCATGGGCAACCTGAAGTTTGAAACTTCCTGTCAGTGCAGCACTATGTTCTTTATTGCCATCTTTCACTGCAGTCTCCAGCCCTCCTGCCCCAACCCTACAGCCCAGCAAGCAAACAACAGTTCAGCTGCAAAGATAAAAGAACAGTTGTAATAATTGGTTACCGTCCTCCAGGAGCCCCGGCACTACAGAAACATTTTTGTGGATGTTTGTTGGCAGCAGGGAAATGCTGAGCCAGGGATCTTGGGTTTCATTCCCAGCAATATGCCCTGTCAGGCACAGAGGCTTTCTCCCTAATTTCTTTCATCTATTTCTGCTCTCCACTCTCCCCAACTGTCATTTCTCAGTCCCTTCATTTCCTTCAGTCTCATCGTTCATCTCTGTACCACAGATCCTTGCCAAACCTCCTTCCTCTCTACTTTGTTCCCTTTTTCTTTCTGAACTCAAATATTCTAGTCAGCATCTGGCAATTGGAAGTTTCACTCTAATCCCCTTGCCTAACTGACCTGGCACTGTTCACAGGCTGTTCTGATTCCAGCAGATTGTGCTTCGCTGCTTGTCTAGGCACTAGAAGAGGCAGATAATGACTTTAGAGCTTTCTTCCTCATGTAGTTTGGAGCAGGAAAGAGTTGCAATTTCAGGAAAACAACACTTTTTCCACCCCACCCTCACAAAGACCCAGTGGCCCCCTCGAAGATTCCAGTGGTGGCTTTCTTGCAGGTATCTGAGTACAAAATAAATGCACTTGCCCAAACCTAAGTAAGCACAGGTCATGCACAAGACAGAAGCTATCTGCTTCTCCCTGCTGCTTTCACATCCTGGCAGATTTCGTTGCAGACATGATCTGTAAAGTTAATGTGGACTTTTAGTTTGCCTACCAATTGGCATGTCTCCTTTTTTTTCTGAGAAAGTGTGATTTTACTTTAATGGGATTATACTTTAATGTGATTATAGTGTGTGTCTGGGCATTTGTCAACATTTGTCCCACCACCTGAAGTGGCTTTGTTGGCTAGTTAAGAGGGCTGAAGGACCCTGAGCTGTTAGTCTTTAGAAAATGGATGCGCTGATAGAAGAGGGAAGCCCAAATTCGTGCCTCCATTAAGGGAAGGAAGAAACTCAGTCACACATCACTGGAGAAACCACACACAAGACAGTCCCGAGAAACCACACACAAGACAGTCCCAAGAAACCCGTTTTTATAACCAGTAACTTCAGCTGCCACCAGAAGCACTTGCTCTGACTGCTCTTTTAAGAAATGACTGGGCTGTTTTTCCTGAAGCTTACTCATAGGGAACACCCCAAATTTCCCATTCACGATGGGAAACTTCAAGTCATTAAAATCTGGTAAAGTTATAGTATTTACATCAGGGTACAAAGTGGAGTAACCAATTGTTAAGGATGCCACCAGCCTATTACTACCAATATCTTTTAAATGTGCCATGGGGGCTACACTAATCTAGTCACAGTAATTTACAAGTTGAAACCAGTGCAGATTAACAAGTGTGCCTGAGCATAACATAACCTGGAATTTGCTTGTGAAAGAAATAACCTAAAGGAACAATTTTCAGCAAGTGCTGAACCACCGAACAGTGTGGTGCCAATTAACCTGGCACAACGTGTCCTACAGCTCTTGTTTTAGCTTGCTTTTTGTTATTGATTGGAAGAATGAATGCTGCTTCCCAACCTGCTAGAACTGGAGCTCTCTGCCACCTTAGCCTGCGATGAGCAAGCTGTGACTCTACAAGCATGTAGGCCAAAATATCTGCTTGTCTTGCTTGAGAGCTGCAGGAGTGGCTGCAGCAGGCCACTGCTTCTGTAGATTTGGCCTGAGACACCTGTTCTTTGTTCTTTCTGATTTCCCCAAGTTAAAACAGACAGGAAAGTCATCTCGTGTCTGCTGTGAGCAAGGTAAGATAAATTGTAAATGTATGTCACTGCATGCTAGCCAATGTGATTAAATGAAGCCATGTTTTGACCTGAAATGCTTGTGACTCCTCCCAGGAGTGGAGGCCTTATCCAAATATATGATGCTGTTTGGAAATGTGAGGGAGGAATGCATTCCCTCAAATGTCTTCCCCAACAACAGAGGCTTACCTGATACTAACATGTGCTTTTCTTGGCCAGGTACAAAGGTGGTAGGGAAGTAAAAAGGGTGTTTGGAGTTGGGTTTTTCTTCCATTGCCAAAATTGAAGTCATTCACACTGAGAGCGGAGGAGTTGTCCTTGCATGCATGTAAAACTAAACTCTTCTTTGCTGTAATGTCCACAAAAACGCCCAGA